CAAGGTTCAGGATTCCTGAGCCTGCAGTCATGTTCTGGTGTTTTGTTCTCTGCTACCCAAATGTCACTACATACTGCTGCTAATGCCCCAAGTTGTACTTGAGGACTATGCCTCTTGTGCAAGTCTCCCTCCTTGATGTGCAAGCCCCACAGAGACCCAGCCTTGGGGGATGGTCTATGATCCTAAATCTGGCACAAAATCTCCAGGGTGTTATGACTGGGGTCTGAGGCTTCCTCGTGCCACTGAAATGCATGTTGCTATGTCACTCCCCTGCCTACTCCCTTGGGGTGCCTTCTCATGGCACTTAGAACAAGAACCAAACTCCTTGCTCTGCCTGACACAGCCCTGCACTGATGCCCCTCTCTGGCTCTTCTATGACCATCCTCCTCCATACTCACACAGACCAGCCACATGGCCATCTTTCTGTTTCCAGAACACACCACACTTGTTCCTGCCTGTGCTTTGGCTCCTCCTTCTGTCTTGACGTCTCAGTTCTAATGTCACCTCCTCAGCAAGGTCTTCTTTGACTGCACTCCCTAAAGAAGCCACCTCCCTGATATTCCACGTCATACTGCTGTGTTTCAATCCTTCACACCCTTCTCTCTCTGAATACATTTGTTTGTTCATTTGCTTATGCGTTCATGTGTTCTCTCTCCCACTGTAATATACACATTATGAGGACAGGGACCTTGTCTGTCTTGTTCTCCAGTGCCTGGAACAATGTGTAGCAAATGTATTTGCCGAATGGAAGGATAAATACCCTCTCTGATACTGGGAGAGGCCTTATAGCACAGCAGCAAGAGGGTGACCTCTCGAGTCAAGCCACCTGCATTTGAACCCCCTTCTATCATTTGAATCCATATGTCCTTGGGAGACATAGAAGTTACATAGCTTTTTTTCTTTCTGCTTTCTCACCTATCAAATGAAGAAAATAACAGTATTACCCTGTAGAATTATCAGATGACTATATGTATGTCATTAGCACTAAATAATTGCTTTGTTTTATTACTGTTGTTGTTGTAACTATTATATTCTTGCCAAAGTTCACGACACATGACTGTGTGAGTTACTTGACGTATTTACATGCAAAGTTTGGTCCATTTACAAATCACATTGTAACTTCCCTTTTCTGGTCCAACGCGAAAAGAGACTGGAAGTCATCATTTCCATCCTCACAGGAAAAAAGCTGAACAAACTGAAAATCAACAACTCTTCTTAGACCCATCAAAGAACTGAGGTTACAAGACAAACCAAAAACCAGAGAGACAAGTGATACAGAGAATCACAGCTTGCAGGAAGCAGAAGCCCCAGCTGGGGCCAGTATGGCTAGGAACACTTTAAACTGTAATCGATGAACTGCTGGAAGCTTAGTGTGGACAGGCTTTAGACTCAAGAATTCTGAGGGTGTCTAGTCCTAGAGGAGCCCAAAACTTTCATGAATTTTACCTCTTGGATCCTTGCCAAGTTCTTACTATAAAGAACCATTTTGAAATATGCCCAGAGCTCTCTGTTCCTCTTAACAAGGCCTGTCCTTGAGAGAAACTATTGTACCAGAGCCTAACCAATCTGGGGGAAAGAAAATACCCAGTTCAGGCACCCTAAAACACTGAGATCTAAACATTGACTGCTTCCCCTCTCTGTCCACCTTGTCATCACATCAGTAGAGCTCCTGTATAATTATAGGGGATTACAACTAAAAAAACTGAAAGCATTGGACCCTATTCAAGAAGTCTCTAGGAAAACCCAAAGACAATGGTGGAGACAAAAACAAGGACACTAGAGGAAATTTTAGCCTTTGACAGAGGTTTTAAATGTTTAAGTCCCAATTTTAAGAAGGTTGTTCTTAATGATCAGGATCTTGTTTGCAGCATCTAGCAAAAGCCCCACCAATCCTCAGAGATAACCATGGCATGACTTGTCCAGTTTGGCTAAAGGTATGACCATTCTGGTGGAGGAAGGGGGTGGTAGGGAGACCCTTTGAAACTATCTTTTAAAACCCAGAAGGACATCAAAGGGAAACTCAATCAATGACTGCATTAAGTCAGGGTTGTAGGTCACTATCCTACACTGGCAGATCATAGCACTTTTTTTTTTTTTTTACTTTCCCAGGTTGTTCTTCTCCTGGGGTTAAGAGGTCTAGATTGACTATATTCTTTCCCACTGACACGGTTATGCAGTTATGGAAGCCAGCCCCCTGCTGATCTTATAGACACCTTTCACCTAGGTCTAAGTGAAATCGTTATAAAACCTCAAACCTGCCGGCCCGGTGGCGCACTGCTACAGTACGCCGCTTGGGAAGCGCTGCGGCCCTCCCACCGAGGGTTCGGATCCCACATATAGACCGGCTGCTCACTGGCTGAGCGAGGAGCGGGGGCAATACCGAGGGTTGCGATCCCGTTGCCGGTCCCGGTCCGGTACGGGCTCGACACTGAGGGTTGTGATCCGTTGCCGGTCACGAAAAAGAAAAAAAAAAACAAAAAACCTCAAACCCATGAAGCACTGGAATTTCCGCTGGGAAATTATGAGAATCCTAATATCCCACTAGACAGAAAAGCTCCATGGAGGCAAGGACTGTGACTGTTTGCTCGTTGTTATACCCATTGTGCCTAGCTCAGGGCCTGCCACATAGTAGGTGCTCAATAAAATTTGTTGAATGAGTGAAAAAAATCCACCGCAAATGTGGGCTTTAAAGTATTCATAGTTTAAATCTGATGATTTCTAAAAATTCTTCTTAAAGCTACTCATTCATTTGTCATTTATTTAACAATCATCAAGTGTCTTCTATTAGATAGGCATGAAAATACAGAAATGAATGAGATGATGTGCTGATTCTTGAAAAAGAGGAAAGGGGGAACAATATTTACTGAGTACCACTAAGCTACACACTTTTTTATTCATTATTTCATCCTCCCTACAACTCCATGAGGTAAATATTACTATCCCCTCTATGCAGATAAAGGATCTGAGATTTGCACAAAGGTCTATATTTTAGCAAATGGCAGAGCCAAGGATATATTCCAGGACCTGGGTACTACCCTCTACAATGTACTTTCTCCCCAAAATAAGTTTAAAATCACAGTCTGATATTCTGTTATGTGATGTTTTACTAAGGAAACTTAGGTTTTCAAAAATTGAGTTATAAACAAATTGTTTCGTTGGGAAAAGAAAAATCAGAGTTTTAGACTTTCACTTACAAGTTACTTACCTTGGAAAAAATTCCAGAAATAGAGGTGTTTTGTAACTATATGAGTGTGTACTTAGAGGCTAGAAATAATAAACTGCTTGGACAAAATAAATGAAAATTATCGAGTTAAGTGCTGAATGGCATCTAAGACCTAAGTCAATGAGTTTCTAAGTTGTAATAAAGCAAAACACTGAAATAAGGTGGTTGAAGTCAAAATAAAGTTCAGCAGGGCTCATGTTGCCAACGGTGAATATGGACTCAAGAAGCTGCCAACTACTCTTTTGTGCACAATAGCTTATTTTCTAGGGTCCTGGTACTAACTTGTGACTGTGTTTCAATTATAATAAGTATATATCCACACTATCAAGTGTGTTCCCTGTTGAGCTATTGTGTTGCATTCTATTTGCTTTATGAAAGCTCAAACTGTATGAGGGAAACCTAAAATAGGAAAATGAATTCTCAGCCATAAGAGCACTTAGAGAAATGCTCAGGGTCAGGCTGTCTTGTAGGGATGGGAGGTCCATTGTGGAGGCAACTCAGCCACACAAGTTGCATGTCCAAGGGTCACATTGAACCTCCTCAGTCACTTGTTTCCATGGACCCTACAGCAGTTTTAGGAATCATCATTCTTTCCCAATGGGTGAAAATACATGTGGACTGGAATGATCTGCACTCATACATGGGCACAAAATTTGAAAACAGGTTATTCCCACCCATGCTGCCTGGATCAGGTGAGGAACTGGGAAAAAAGAGATCCGTGATCAAAACAAAATTCCAGCAGCTCAGAAAGTTCCCAGAGTGGTGGGGAATGGTCTCAGACTGGAATAGTCCTAAAGGATATGGCCCAATCTTAGTGCAGTGAGAACACTCTCTTACATTTTCATAGCTCCCTGCAATTCTCAATGACTTCATAATGACCCTGGCAATAAAGTCGCATTCTTATTTTTACAGATGAAGAAACTGGAAGTGAGGAATTGATTCATAGCTAGCAACCATCAGAGTAAAATCTCTTAGATTTCCGACTCCTGACTGAATAGTCTTCCCACCATGACCCTGTAGGGCAACCCTGGGAATATGCTTGTAAGAGCAATGGCTTTGGAATCAGGATGACCTACATTTGCCTATCCAGGATGTAGCACTTTTTAGCTATAGAATTTCGGCAAGTTCGGGCCGGCCTGGTGGCACACTGATACAGTGCGCCGCTTGGGAGCGCAGCGGCGCTCCCGCTGAGGGTTCGGATCCCACATACAGACCGGCCGCTCATTGGCTGAGCGAGGTGAGGGCGCAACACCGAGGGTTGCGATCCCGTTGCCGGTCCCGGTCTAGTACGGGCGCGACACTGAGGGTTGCGATCCGCTGCCAGTCACGAAAAAAGACAAAAAGGAAAAAAAAAAAAAAAAGAATTTCGGCAAGTTCTTTAACCTCATTAAGCCTCAGTTTCCTCATCTGTAAAATGGGGGCACACACAACATCTAGCTCACAGGGTTATTGTGAGAATCTGATGGGACATCCTTATAGATGCTCAGCACACAACTCAGCCTCTGGTTAGAGCTGGAAAATGCTGAGGGTTTTATGGTATGTTTATAGCATGGACTCTGACAGAGAAGTCTCCTTTCTCTTGGGGTACAAAATCCCCAGGGGACATCTTACTGTATCTAAGGCTACAAGGAAATAAAAACTTGGGACACACTGTCAGTGCCTGGGGACTGAGCACTGAGCCTAGGATGAGGATGGAGGGGTGTCTGCCCATCTTTCCTCTCCTCTCACACTGCCATCTACACTGGGTCCCCAAGGCAGAGAGGCCCTCCATCCCCACCTGGAAAGCCATGGAGTTAGCAACAGCCAGAAATATCCTCAGAGGCAGCTTGGCCTTGTAGGACCTGTGGCTCCACAAGCGATGGGCACCAGCTGTCACACCCAGAGCAGTCAGGAGGAAGCAGAAGAAGGCTGCAAGACACAAGCAGGGAGAATGTCAACAATTGTCCCCAAGCTTTTGAACATCCCCCATCCTTTTTTCTCTCCACATAGGAACCCACATGAAATAGCATCAGGGGAGGAATCTGCAATGTGATAAACTGATAACTTGAGAAGATGCAGCCTTTTTATTGATTTGTAGCTTCCCAGTACCAGGCAGAAGCAGGCAGAACCTTCTTCAGGAAACTTTGACCTTTGAATATCATTTTTTTTTCTACATCAAACAAATCTTTCATTTGCTGATGTTTCTTGCCAGTCTTGACTCAAAGTCACAACCACGTCAGTGCGCATTTGCAGTCTGGTCTCACACATGTGCTCTCGGTGGAGCTGAGGTGGATCTCTACATTTCCTCTTAATTGGCACCCACGCCTGGGTGAGTGTTATGTGAAGAGCATATTTCTAAGTGGCAGTGCCCATTTTCATGGTTCCATTGGCCTTGGTTTGAAGGAAATTAGGCCAGTCTTAAGAGCAATGAAGTCTGGCTCAGGGCCGGTAAGAATGAGGATAAACCCGGCAGCAGAAAGAGCTGAGATGTGTCTTCTAGAGATCCTCACTTCTATCACCACGACGACCTGAGCTGTGAAGATGGCCAGGCGGGGAATTCTTAAAAAGCCACCTAAACTGGAGCCTGTTAGCTGCCACATACTTAATATATTATCTCTAATCCTCACAATGGGTGATGGGTATAATTGTTCTCTACTTGGGGAACAGGAGCTCTGAGAGGTTGATTGGTAAATCCTGTGTATAAATCCAAGTTGACCTATTTCCCAGGCCTCTGCCCAGAGGCCCCATGTGGCCCCCCAATGGTGGTGGTTTGCTCTTTGACTGGAGGCTTGGGAGAGGTTATAAGTGCATGGTGGAAAGCGGACACACAGGCACCCAAAAATGTTGATTCTTGAGATTATTACAACTACTGTAGTGGCTTTAAAGCAACGCCCCCCCCCCCCAGTGCTAAATGTTTTCTTTGGATTATCTTATTAAACACATAAAACAACCCTATGCATATTATAAGCCCCATTTTGCAAATGAGAAAAAAAAGTCTTAAAGAAGTTAACTAATTTCTCTCTGTCACAAAACTAGGAAGTGTCCTTACTAAGAGCCAAACCCAAGTCTGTCTGAGCCAAGACCCGAGTTCCTGCCCACTATACTCTTTGTCTCTGGGATACATCAAGTAAGTTTTATCTTCACTTCACACCCCTTAATACTGGATCCCAATCTAAATTTGAAAGTTAGCTGCTTCCTATTTGGGGAAAGAGCCCTAAACCAGGCTATAGGAAGGTGGGCTCTACACAGTTGCGTCTAGCACATACAGGACCCTCCCTAAACAATTGGGGAAGAACAAGAGTTCAGCTGCAAGGACATCCCCAGAGCAGCTGTGAAGGGTCCCCAGGCCAGGGTGAGTACTTAGGGAACCCACTGAAGCACTTCTCTGCAAGAATTACTAGGGAAACTTTGGTATTAATATACTTATTTTAATGGGAACACAATATTATATCTTCCAAAAGTTAAGTGATGGATCTTGATCTCAATGTATAATTACATGGTTCTAAAAACAAGATTTACTCTTAGCTCTAAGACTGAGTCCCTGAATACATAGAGTTTTCATGAAATTGACAAATCATTCCTTACTTGAAAGGTTAAAAGCCAAAAGCGAACAACAATCTGCCCACTAATCATAGAAAGTAGCAGTAAATAAAAAGTTCCAAGCTGGCCATCTCTACTAGTGATTTTTTTCAACTGTCTCCACAGGTGATTTGGGGGGGGGTTTGTTTTTTGTTTTCTGTTTTTGGTGGCTGGCTGATACCGGATTCCACCCCGTGACCTTGGTGTTGTTATGCTGTGCTCTAACCAGCTGAGAAACCGGCCAGCCCCCACAGGTGATCCTGATGCACAGCCAGGGCTTGGAAACCCCTGCCCTGTAAGGCACGCCCTCTCTTGGAGACCATGCGGTCCCTGCCTCGCAATTTACAAAGAAACCGAGATGCAGAGAGCGTTGCAACCTACCACTAGACGATGACCCTCCGCGGGGCCCCTGGCACCCGGGGGGACCTCGGTAAATGCTAAGTGACTCCGGATCAGGAGACAAGGCCGCCCTTTCACGTGAACTTCGGTCCTGTTGGCACTCCCCCCGCCGCCGGCTCCCTCTGATGCTGCAAGCGGCCCCCCAGGCGCTCCGCGGCGCAGCAAGGCAGTAGACACCTGAGCGCCGCGCCGGGCTGGGCGGTGTGTGCGCGGGGAGCTGTCGCCCAACACGGGAGTGGGATCCTGGGGACAGGGCAACACCTCGGGGAAGGAGGGAACATGGAAGAAGACGCTGTGCTTTGATGTCTGCTTTTCCAGCCGGCTCAAGTGTTCTGAAAGTCAATTCTGGGCTCTAGCCATTAAATGACCATTTGTCCTCTCCTCCCCAGATTCTGAAGACAGATGGGGAAAGGCCCACAAACCCAGAGATACACACATGCGTGCGAGGCTACTTCAGAAAGTTCGTGGAAAAACAGAATTAAAGGATAATATGAATCTTTCTACAAACTTTTTGAAGTACCCTGGTATATACACATACCTGTATATGCTCAGTAATAGAGCATCATGGCCCTGGGATTGAATCCCTGCTTATACGTGTGGCAATTTCTCTAAAGCTGGGTTTCTTCATCTATAAAGGCGGAAAATGGGACCTGCCCCTTGGGTATGTTGTAAAGATGAAAAGAGGTAGTGCCTGCAGAATTCCAGCCCTGCCTGGCAAGCAGGGCGCAGGCGTGACTGTCTCTGGTATGAAGCCACCCGCTGCCTCTGGGAAACATCCCCTTCCCCAGAACCCCTCTGAAGACACCCCAGGCATTTCATCACTCTAAACTGGTGGATGTGGGAGTGGTTTGGCCTCCCTGCTCTGCCCCTGCCTACATTTGGCAATATCTTCAGCCATAATTGGTTGCCATAAACCAAAACTTGAAGGGTGCTACTGGCATCTAGTGGGTAGAGGCCAGGTATGCTGCTAAGCATCCTACAATGCCCAGAAGCTCCTTCCAACAAAGAATTATTCAGCTTAAAATGTAACTAATGCCAAGGTCATCCTGCTCTAATATCTCAGGAAAGCTCTCCTTGAAACCATCCCCTGGGCTGGCCAGTTAGCTCACTCCGTTACAGCACAGCCTTATAACACCAAAGCCATGGGTTCAGATCCCCCTACAGGTCAGTCACCAAAAACAAACTATCCCTTGTTAGTTTCCCCCGCCAAGACCGCACCTGTCCTTGCTTCTTACCGCTCTGGGTTCATGGGGAGCTGTAGGTGTAGGAGTAATTTATTTCTGATATTTTTAAATAAGCTGAAAACAAAGGACCTGAGTGAAAGATCAATTGTATTTTAGGTAATTGATTCTCATGCTTTAATGTGCCACCCCCAGAGATTCTGGTTCAGTAGGTCTAGGGAGCAGCCATCAATCTGTGTTTCTAACAAGCTTGCAGGTGCTGCTGTTGGCCCAGGGTCCCAGAGTCGTTGGCTAACCATCCCATCTGACCAGCCTGATAAGGCGCTGCCAGTGACACAGCAAGGCCCTGTACGTCCACTCACCTCGTGGACTGGTGCTACAAAGAACTTCAATCAGACCTTACATCAAGGTTTGAGGCTCTGGGGTAATTTCCCCCTAGGTACTATCTAAACAATTCTCTCAAAATGAGAACATTTTCACAGGGTCTTGGAAACTGCAGGCTGAGAAGCAGAGGGTTTCTTTCTACTATTCAAACCTAAATTCTTTTATCCTACAATGACGAACAGCCTCTTTGTCATGCACCTTGTTCCACTAAGCCCCCTTCTACTGTGCTGCACTTGAGCTGCAGGGATATGTCCTCTCACCCCACAGCATGGATCTTTAAGCAACTGCCCACGTCTAGGAACATCCGATAGAAAGGGAATGGAACGAGAGAGAGAGGATGTATCTCATGCATTTTACACGTGGTGCCTATTGTCCTCAAGCGTTCTTCCTGCCTTCTGTTAGGTCCATTTAGACTGCTCTAACGTCCTGGGCAACCGCTACTTTTTCTGGACGATTTACAGCTTGTAGGACAATGAGCATGGGAGTCATAGCAGATCACCAAGAAACAACATTATAGCATATCTTGTTACTACTCTGCTACTGCACCACACTGTCTGTAATTCAAACAAAAAAGGCAAGAATTCGGGTCTCACCAGCGCCTCATTCAGTACACAGACACATGGCTCACTTCAAACAGGCACCCCTCTTAGATGCCCAGTTGCCCCTGTGTTTTCCAGTGTGGCAATCCTCACAATGTAATTAAATAAAAAATTATCAATCTGATGTCATCTTCTCTTACCAAAACCTAATCTCCAGGAGGGCCAAGATCATGTCTAAATTTCCATATATTCTCACCTGGTACCTGTGCAACTAACACAGCTAGAGAAAGATAACCATGTGAACTAGTCTCACTTTAAAAACGGGACCGCTAACCTCAACTGGGCTCTACTATTTTCCTTGTCCACACGTGGTCCCTCTCTCTTAGACATCTCTCTCATACTTGCTCCTGTCACCTCACCCCAACATCTCTCTTCCCCCCTCATCTGATAACTTTGCTTCTGGTTTCACTGAGAATATCAGAGCTTCCTCAGGCTCCACCGTGCCACCCCCTTCAGCAGCTGAGCCTGGGTACGCTGCGATCTCTCTGTGGCCGCTTATGGCCTTCCACAGGTCGAGGGCCTTTAAGTCTGGCCCTCCTTGCACATCTCAGCCACTCACACACTTCCTACTCATACACGGCTCAGCAAGTCCCCACCCCCAATGTTGCCCTGGCCTGCACCCACACAGTTATTTCTCTCATGTTAAAAAGCTCCACTTCCCCACGTAGATCCTATTCCATTTCCCTGCTCCCCTTTACAGAACTTATTGAATGGATTGTTTCTGATCACTGATTATAGTTCTTCTCTTCCCATCCCTGCCCTTTTGTCCATCTACCCTCATCCCTGCCCCCAAT